TGATTGCTAATGGAAAGCATCGTCAGAAGAGAATTTTTCAATTAGAACAAGATGAAGGGACGATAGTTGGTCAGGAAAACCTGAAAGTTTACATTACCAACTATTATAAGCAGTTGTTTGGCCCTCCGGATGAGAGTTTTGTGTCCTTGGATGAGTCAAGAGTTAAGGATGTTCCCCAACTTGAGACGGAAGAGAATGAGATTTTGACTGCTCCTTTCACGGAGAAGGAGGTGTTTGAGGCCATTGCACAAATGAAAAACAATAAAGCGCCAGGACCAGATGGGTTTCCGGCGGAGTTCTACAAAAAGTGTTGGCATTTTATTAAAGGTGACCTGTTGCCGATGTTTCATGAGTTGTTCACTGGTCAGCTTCATTTGTTCAAGCTCAAATTTGGAACGATAACTCTTCTTCCTAAGAAGACAGAGGCTATTCACATTGAGCAGTTCAGACCCATATGTTTGCTTAATGTCAGTTTCAAAATTTTCACCAAGGTTGGGACGAACCGACTCATGCAGATTGCGCATTCAGTTGTGAAACCGTCCCAGACCGCTTTCATGCCGGATAGAAATATCCTTGAAGGGGTGGTCGTCTTGCATGAAACGCTCCATGAAATCCACTCAAAAAAACTTGATGGTGTGGTTTTTAAAGTGGATTTTGAAAAAGCATACGATAAAGTTAAATGGCCTTTCCTTCAACAGGTGTTGCGTATGAAAGGATTTGACAAGGCCTGGCGAGACCAGATCGAGTCCTTTACGCAAAAAGGGAGTGTAGGGATTAAAGTGAATGATGATATAGGTCACTATTTCCAGACACACAAAGGACTAAGGCAGGGTGATCCCATGTCACCGATTCTATTCAACATAGTGGCTGATATGCTATCTATTTTAATAGGTCGGGCTAAGGATGCGGGGCAGGTTTCGGGCTTGGTTCCGCACCTAGTTGATGGTGGTATATCCATTTTGCAGTATGCTGATGATACTATCATCTTTATGGAGCATGACGTGGCGAAAGCAAGGAACATGAAGCTTGTGTTGTGCTTATTTGAACAATTGTCTGGACTCAAGATTAACTTCCATAAGAGCGAACTGTTTTGCTTTGGAAGAGCTAGTGAGGACCAGGAGGCGTATAAGCAATTGTTCAGATGTGAGTTGGGTTCGCTACCGTTTACATACTTAGGTATACCCATTCATCATCGTAAGCTGACGAACAAGGAGTGGAAGTGCATTGAGGATCGTTTTGAAAAGAAACTAAGTTGTTGGAAAGGGAAGCTCATGTCATATGGAGGTCGATTAATTCTGATTAATTCGGTCCTCACCAGTATGCCCATGTTTCTTTTATCCTTTTTTGAGGTCCCGGTGGGAGTCAGGAAGAGGTTAGACTTTTATCGATCCCGATTCTTTTGGCAGAATGATGAGTTGAAACGAAAGTATAAGCTTGCCAAATGGGATATCATCTGTAGGCCGAAGGACCAAGGCGGTCTAGGCATTGGAAATCTAGAGATCAAGAATAGATGTCTCCTTAGCAAGTGGCTTTTTAAACTTTCGTCCGAGACAGAGGCTACTTGGGCTCAGATTCTGCGTAATAAGTATCTTCAGTCAAAAACTTTGGCTCAGGTGACTGTGCGCCCGACTGATTCACCGTTTTGGAAAGGGTTGATGAGAGTCAAGCCCCTCTTCTTTAACAGGGTAAAAATCTTAGTCGGTGATGGGGCTAGTACGAGGTTCTGGGAGGATACGTGGCTAGGGGAGACGCCTCTGGCACTTCAATATCCTACTCTGTATAACATTGTTCAACGTCGAGAAGCATACGTTGCAACTGTCTTACAGTCCACGCCTCTCAATATTAGCTTCCGGAGGACGCTAGTAGGCGATCGTTGGGAGGCATGGCTTCATCTTGTACGAAGGCTGATGGATGTCCAGCTGTCTCAGTAGCCAGATAGACTGTTTTGGAAACTGACTAAGGACGGCAGGTTCTCGGTCAAATCCATGTATCTGGATGTCATAAACACTAGTGTCATTCCTTGCTCGAAGCACGTCTGGAAAGTTAAGGTACCTTTGCGAATCAAAGTGTTTATGTGGTTTGTGCATAAACAAGTCATTTTGACAAAGGATAATCTGGCAAAACGCAATTGGATGGGTTCTGCTAGGTGTAGTTTTTGTGATTGTAACGAAACTATCAGGCACCTCTTTCTAGATTGTCCGCTGGCTAAGATTCTTTGGCGTTCGATTCATATTGCTTTTAATATTACTCCACCCACCTCTATCAATATGTTATTTGGAACATGGCTTGATGGGGTGAACCTGGATGTAGCAAGACACATTCGTGTTGGCGTGTGTGCCTTGTTATGGGCAGTATGGAACTACAGAAATGATTTGGTTTTTAACAGAGCAACGGACTTTCATTTTTTGCAGGTTATCTTCAGGGCCACAGCATTGATCCGTATGTGGTCGCTACTCACTCCGACGGAGGCGAGGGGGCGTTTGGCTGCTGCGTCTACCCGATGGGAGATGGTAGCTCGGGTTATTTTCAACCGGTTTGGATGGCGGTCATGTAATAGGATAGACATGTAGTGCTCCTATTTTATTTGCCAGCCGGTTGTGGCTTCATGATTAGGCTCGTTTGAGCAGCTTGTTTTCTTTTCGACCATTTCAGATATTGGAGACTTTGTGACTCATTTTGTTTTTTAATAATATGAGCCGTATGCATCTTTCTGATGCAGAGGCTGGGGTAATACTCCTTTTCTAAAAAAAAATTATTCATTCATAAGGATCGTAGCGTCGGTGATAATAGGAGGAATAACCACATCTGGGGCGGTGTCCATCCAGATATTTGAAGAAGAAAATCTAGCTATCCTAGCCAGTTCATGAGCTACTAGATTTCTAGGGCGGTGTTCATGTTTGTTTGCCAGAATAACACGACAGGGAATAGCGCTATGGAGTGCCCTCCAAATGAAGATTTTAGTCTTGGCTGGACATGTTAAATTCCAAACTGAGTCCCATATGTCTGTTGGGTTAGAGGCTCCTGACATAGTCTTCAGCTTATGGCCGAATTGGAACTCCCATTCTACGTGATAGGCCGAACGCACTATAAAAACACCGGTCTTTGTCAAATTCCACGCCGAAAAAATTGTCATTTCACTTGCTTGATATGCACTTGACAGAATTCTTAATCCCATCCTTCCCATGGCATTATGCGCCTAATCCAGGGGTCCAGCGTCCTAATAAACACGGCTCCATGGTTGGGGCAGACATACTTGTTCAAAGTGTAGCAGAGGACTGCATAAACAATGGCTACATTCCTGCATTGGTACTTCAGGTTAGACCCTTGGCTGCAGACATGAGTACACCAATCACTGGGTGGGCCCCGGCTGGTCGTTAAGAAAAGTCTTGTGTCTGTAGTATATATGGTCTTCTCAGGGTCAAATGGTTCTTCAGGCAACAGAGTCCAAATCTCCTCACTGAGCCACTACTGTTCCATTCCAACTCAGCTGAGTTCACTTGAAGCAGGATTGTCTCTCAGCTCAACTCTTTCAGGATACTTACACATATACTGGAGTACAAGATGGCCATGACCTGCCTGCCAATGGCCGCGGCTGCCGTGGTTCTGCTCCTGATGGTGGCGACGGCCCAGGGCATCAGGCTTGACGCGGAGAGCAAGGCGGCGCTCGGCAACCCTGTGCTCAATGTAAGTGATTGCGACTGTCGTCTCCGGTGATCCGGTGTGTTGTTGCGCGATGATCGGTTCTCTAACCTTGCGTGCTTTCTTCTCTTGGTTACAGAAATCCGCGGAGAAAGGGGTGGTGAACAAGGCTGATGGTGATGAGCCATCATCAGGGGATGAAGTGGAGGAGGCCATCTCTGAAGAGAAAGAGAGGGCAGGGGGGCACAGGATGCCTGAGATCCATGTGGACTACTATGGCCCCAAGGGCCATAACGCCAGGCACCACTGAGCAGAGCTCCCCCTGCATTCTCCATTCTTTTTTCTTCCACTTCTTGTTTAGATGATCATGATGAGGCAGGATGCTGCAGCTGCAGTGGCAAGACCAAGACCCAGGATGTGATTTGTTTAGTTTTCATTTCTCATTTTTGGCCTGATGAAGAGGGGAAGAGACATAGCTGATGTAGTACTAACACATTGACGACACTCCGATAAAAGAACTATAAATTACATGGATTGGTGTACAGGCTCTTGTATGGATAGGAGCATGGCCGGAAATGCTGCAGTTTTTCCTGGCCAAGCACTCTGCTTTGTGTCTGGGCTACGAAATTACTGAAACTACTACACCAAAATGACACCTTTATTTTTCCTTTTGCAGGGACATCAAAATAGTAATGTAAAATGGTACTATCTTTTTTGTGCCTAGTATTATAGTAGTAGTACGAAGTATATAACTGTAGCATAGTTTATGTTTCCCGCAAAATCGAACTAGCATCAGTGAACACCCTGCTGGATCCAGTAGCTATTTGATATAACAATGTAGGAAGCATTTTGCCTGGCAAGGGAAGTTGCAGAGACCAGTCTGATATGCTAACAAAATGGCTGAAGGAAGAGCATATCTTCCATTGGTTACTGAAAGTACAGTCTGGTAAGTCACACAGAGAAGAGCAAGCATCCATGCTGGTTGCTGGGCAACGAACTTAAAACTGACGCTTAAAAAGATACCACAGCTACGATGCCCATATAAAACATAGGATAAGACTCAAAATGAAAACCAACACCAAAATATTAAAACTGAACTTCCATTCTTCAACGGCTGGCACGTGATTCAAATTGCCACATCCACCAGTGATCTTTAAAACTAAACTCATAATGCTAGGAGAATCCTCTAAATTTAATATAATAGGCCCACTTTATTACTATAAACTTTTTAGTGATGACCAACTAACAAAAACACTTCATTGAATGACGCGTTGTTAAAGGAAACAGCTGTGTCGCCCCCCTTCAAGACACACGGCGCCCTGCTTCACTTGTTTCAGCCACCGCCACAGCACTTGCCACCGCTAAACGAAGCAAACAGTTTTGAAGAATGAGTCACTAGGATGAGAATTTCTTTGCGCAACTTCAGGATTTTCTGAAGGGAAACATAACATATGTTGGTGAATAGAAGACGTCATCGAAACCATAATATAAATGGTTAAATTAAACATTATATACCTGGTGGATTGTTGAAGCTCATGTAGAGAAAGAGGTTCTCAAATATTTCCCGCTCAATTGTGCCCCTATTTGGCTTACTCGACAACTTTCTCAACCTCAGGGACTTGAGATCAATTCGGAATGCACCAAGATATGTGATCGCAAGGATGATATCGGTGCCCTCCACACAGCCAACCAACTTTAATGAATATGAGGTCCTGGGATTGCCACTGGGGACAAGTGTCTTGAGGTCCATTTCTCTAACCTGAATCCATGACACTTCTCCATCACGACTCACCTCCATCGACCAAATGAGGCATAGCCCATGCTGGTCTAGGTGGACGACACCCAGCCCACCGTCGTCCGGCGAAATGAGGAGAGGGTTCCACGTCAATGTACGCAGCCCTGGTGGATCAATGACCGATAGGCGATGCCTAACCAAGTCATACTTGAGAATGCAAATGCCCTCATCTCGACGAAGGAGGAAGTGGAGCGCTTGTCCAACGATAACGGCAGGCCTTGCGACGATGTAGGCTCCAAGTGTTCCAACGCCGCCGATATGAATAGAGGCCGGCGAGGTCCACTCCCGGGTCTTCGATGAGTATACAGACGCCAACACGAGCCTCTTATCATGAAGGCTGACAAAAGCTACAACGACGAAAAATGGGCCCAAGTTGCAGGCAGTGTGGTTGCAGCCATCCGTTGCACAGAGCACCGTGGCCGTATAGTTTGCGCGGTTGTTGTCAGGGCCGAAGATGTTGTGCAACTCCGTCCGGCTCCCAGACACTGGGTCCCAGACGACCATCTTCCAGTTGACATCCTCCACCTCCTTCTCTTCCTTCTCTTCCTCCTCTTCCTCCTCTTCCTCATCTTCCCTGTCCCACTCACACCCAAGAAGAACGCGGCCATGGCGGCAGTCGAGCACGAAGCTGTCCCGACGCTTGGGACTGCGGGGGCGGAATTTTGTGGTCGGGACGAAGCGCTCGACGTTGTCATCCCAGCTTTGTAGGAAGCCCAGGACTGGAGGTGTTTTGTGCAAGGTGCGGTAGCGGCCGCGGAAGACGTGGCCGGAGAGGAGGCGGCACCAAGCCTTGCAGACGAGGGAGGCGCGGATGAGGTCCGCCGGCTCGTCCGGCGGAATGCGGATCAGGACCTCCACGAGTTCTTCCCTCTCCCACAGCCCCGGCACATGCGGCGGCGTCAACGACCTCATGGGCCGTGCTTGCAGGAAAAGATTGTGGATTGGGAGGCCACCGCGTGGGAATCAGATAATTCTGGCGCGGCCGCGTGATTCGCAGCCCTCCGCCCCCTACCCGGCCGGCTCGCTGGAGCAAGAACAGCCGCGACCGCCGCCGCCTTCGCCTCCTCTCCCCGCCGGCCTCAAGCTCGCGCTGCTCCGATCAACAACAACACCTCCGCCTACTAGTTTCTGGACCCATCTCGGAATCAACCAATATGCATTATCGGTTTGTATCGGTGGGTTTGTATCGGTGGGTGAGACTGAGAGATTCTTGCGGAGTGGGGAATCGATGAGGGGCCGAGGGCGAGGAGGACGCACCCGATCAAAGCAATCTGGTGTTAGTGGACCATCAATTTTTAAGGCCCATAGGCCATAGTTTTTTTTGTTTGTTTTTTTTGCGGGAACCATAGGCCATAGGTTAGTGACTGCATGAAAAAAATGTCATCTCCTTTTCGCTTTATTTCAGATGTTTTTCAGAGGATTTTGTCTTCCATGTTTCTCAGGTGTAAAGTAAATTTTGATTCGAAATCTTGATATATATTGTTATTTCTTCTGAGATGGTTCATGACTATTTGCACCACATTTCGACATTTGTATTGTCTAGAGAGTGGTATCACTAGATAATTTTTTCGATCTTAATACATCTCCTTGGTTGCTTGCATGGAGATCTCTGGCTCCTTTTTGGGAACATTAAATGTCATTTGAGTTTGTCCACAATTGTTCGGTTTCCAATTCGCTATATTTTTTTTGTCATATACACTATTTCTTAACAAAATTATATACTATCCAGCCATGCAGACCGAAGCGATTATGATGACTTTGTACGTATATTGCCTTTGGAGGCCGAGCTCCAGGGATGTCGGTCTAGAAAAATTCAAAATTCATCGAATTTCATAGTTTCTACATTTCAAAAAATTCTGAAAGAAAATACAGGTATACATGGAGGCATAACACACATGCGTGTAAATTTTCAGGGCAAAATACGTTGAAATGAGAGCTGTATGAAAAAGACAAATCTGAGGCTTTTAACACATGATACTATTCATCCTAGGCCATGAATTTGTCTTTTTTTTACAGGTCGCATTTGAACGTATTTCATCCAGAAATTTTACACACATGCACATAACATCCTTATTTTACTTGCAGCTTCCGAAACCGCATGCTCTTGTTGGGCGCTCCCGTCCTTTGTAATCCTCTAGACTTTATTTTAAGTGGCTGAACTACCTTTTTTTTTTTAGTTTGCTTGTACTCTGCTGGTGTGGGATTTATTGATTTAAACTCAGACTTGTTTTGCGACTTTATTCTGAAATGAAAATCATCTTTGCAAGTGTTAAGTCTGTGCTTGGAAAATGTTGAAGGAAGGGTTGCCAACGAGGCAACTAAAGAAGTCTCGCCACCTCGACACCATGGATGTGTGTGTGCGTTGTGGTAGAGAAACTGAGGATGCCTTCCATGCAGTTGTTACGTGCCCTCAAGCACATGCTGTATGGGAAGCCATGAGAGATGAATGGCAATTACCTGAACAAGATGAGCTGATCAATACTGGTCCAGAATGGGTGCTTGATCTTCTTGCCAGAGTTAATGAGAGAGTGCGGAGAAATGTGCTAATGATTATCTGGAGGAATTGGCAGACCAGGAACGATCAAGTACATGATAAACCAGTGCCACCTGTACACATAACAAGGTCCTTTCTGTCGAGCTACATGTGTTCGCTAATTCAGGTGCAGAGTAAGGACGGCGGGGACCCTGTGAAAGGAAAAGGTATAATGGAAGGAAGCCTACAAGAGCAAGTGAAGGAGAGGTATGCCAGTGCTCGTGCACAATGGCCACCGCCTGCTGTGGGGTGCCTTGCAATCACAGTCGATGGTGCTTACTGTGACAAAGAGAAGAACGCAGGGACAGGTCTAGTGATCCGTGATACGGCAGGTGATTTGATACTTGCGTCATGCCAATACTTATCTAGGTGCCGGGGTCCTCTGGAAGCAGAACTTATGGCCGCAAAGGAAGGTGTGGAGATGGCGCGTAGATATGCTGCTGGTCCGTTTGTCCTCCAAACAGACTGTTCAAACCTAATCAAACTGATTAAGGAAACGAAGCCGGACAGATCTTGCTTGGGACACCTGATACAAGAGTTGAGAAACTTATTCTTTGAGGAGAGGGAGCTTACTATTATGAAAGTAGATAGAATTCAGAATAGGGTTGCAGATTTTCTAGCTAAATTTTCGCGTTCGGAGCATCAAACCGACTTGTGGTTATAAGACGCCCCCGAGAATCTTCTTGGCCTTTTGGCTATGGATTGTAATCCTATTTACTAATCAATAAAGCTCCCAATCTTCACCCAAAAAAAAAAACACGGTTGCCAATGTGCGAAGCACATATTCTACACGTCTTCATGTTATATATAATCACGAGAAACTGTATGTTAACAAAATTATCACTTATCAGTGTTCAATAATACAAAGTGTTGCAAGTAAACGCTTCATGCCACTAAAAAGCAAATGTACAACAATTAACCCAATAATGGAAAATAAAAAAGTAAATAAAATGGGGACATGGAGTATATGCTCCCGAGCTCAAATGCTCTCCTAGGAACAGTAAAATCGGAAAAAATAGTAAATAAATTCAAAAAATTCTTAATTCTTTTACGGTAAACTTTGACCAATGTTTTGCATGCTTGTAAAATTTCAGCACAAAATAACATTCGTAGAAGTCGTGACAAAAAAAATCTATGTTCCAAAAATGCTAGTTTTGAACACATTTTGGAGTGACGATTTTGTTTTTTTCACCACGCCTTCCACGAATGTCATTTTGTGCTGAAATTTTGCGAGCGTACAAAACATTTGTCAAAGTTTCTCACCAAAAATTAGATTTTTTGAATTTTTAACTATTTTTTTTTATTTTACTGTTCAAGCGGGTGCATTTGAGCTCGGGAGCAGAATAGTACTTTAGATAAAATGGTCTCATCTCAATCCCCTCTCGGTCCGTTGTACTAGATCATTAACAAAACCAGTGGTGTTTTCTTAGTGTTTAGTCAACTACTCCCTCCGTCCCATAATGTAAGACGTTTTTTGTCAAAATACGTCTTACATTATGGGACGGAGGGAGTATATTATCTGATTGTGCAGTACTCCTAGTGTAACTAACTAAATACGAAAACTAATTTAGGGTTGCGATGATCTAGCGGTAGAGTTGGCCAGCTCCTTGTCGGCATTGTCCATTCTTGAGTCAAAGGCGTGCATCTCCTCGTATTGCCGGTCTTTCACCTACGCATCAAGCATAACAACAATTAATATTCTCATGAAATTGTGTTACCTTAATCAATTACTACCATGTAATGTCAATATTTGTATAAAAAAATTGAAATGTACATATATATCTGCATACCTTGGCTCTGCTTCCTTGCTTTTCTCTGTTACCCTGCATGCCAATATAGGAAGTAACACAAAAAAACTTAATTAAAAGAGAGTATGTGAGAGCATGCCACGCACGCAAGATATGCTTCATATGTAACATGTTCTTGCTTTAAATGGTTGTAGTGTAGTAAGTTGCTTAAACAATTTAGATGTATGACTTTGTGCTTGATAAATATTATGTCAGCGCCTTTTAATTATCGGTGCTCAGTCAAGAAGACACGGCAAAAAAAAAAAGACACGGCAGTAGAATCCTTCCTACACAGTGAAAATTCAATATATTTTGCTAAACATCTTTCCAAATGAACAGGCTTTGAGCTCCAACCATACATAATATCTTTCTTGCGGCCTCTTGATGCTCATTGTGTTTTTATCCTCTTGATTCTCCATTTTGAGCCAAACTAACTCAACGTTTGTCAAAAAATATCTTTCTTGCGGAAAAAGGGGATGCAACCGAATAAAAACACGTGGATGGGCTCGTGGCCCAATGGGAAGAGCGCGATGATGTCTCTTGGCTGACACGAGTTTGAATCATGTGGGCAAGCACTGGATGAAGTTACGTTACCTGATCTCTGAGTGTGGGAACTGCATGATGGACAACATACTGCGCGTCCACGATGCCAAATTGCTCTTCTGGGTCCTGCCAGTTCAAAACAGAAAACAAACAAAAAAATAGTGAGCCATGTCAGGTGTGCACAATTTTTCAAAGCGGTTTTCTGGATAACTCAAGCGTTCTTCACTGAATCTATGAAAATGCTGTATGTATCTATGGTCAAGTAATTACGTACATCGACGCATCTCCAGAAGTTGAAGTCGAGGCCCCATCCATGAACCAGATCATTCTGCAAAATAAAATAAAATAAAATAATAATAAGTTCTACTCCCTCTGTCTCATAATATAAGAACGTTTTTGACACTAATGTAGTGTTAAAAACGTTCTTATATTTTGGGACAGAGGGAGTAAATTTTAGTTTGAGACAAATTTAAAGGTGGTTCAAATAATAATCCAGAATTAATTATGAGCGACTGACAAATCAACATGCTACTAGGTTAAGTACCTGGATCATATGCCACACGCATCTCCAAGCATCCCTGGAGAAGACCGGCGCCATCACCTCCACGAACCTGCCCATGCATGCATGCTTCTTCATCTTATTAACTTATAAGATTTTCGTACACAAGGTGAAGGAGTTGTGTTGATGATGTTGGATCAGTTACCCGCTGCACGGCCGCTGGTGCACGTCGGGGCACTTCTGCCCCCCTGCATCTGTCCTGTGTCATTCAAGCATGCCATGCCAGATTAATTAATCATCATATGCAATGCATATTCAGCAGCTGCTTAATGCTTACTTGTGCATCTCGCCGGAGTTTCTCTTGACGGAGACGTCGTACGCCTTGTGCCCCTTGGTGGCGTCCAGCCCCGGCTGCGAGATCTCCAGCCCGTGCTTCTTCACGATGTCAATGTACCTGCAACCGCGCGCCCACAGTCTCTCAATGATCAAATTTCAGAAAGCAGCTACACGTGGAATGGATACGGATGATCGACGATGTTCCTACGCTTCG